CTCTTATCATGGTCTCTCCTGATGGGGAGCTCAGTCAGTCTTCATGTGTGTTTCCTAGTAAGGGGAGTAGGGAACTGAAATGGACTCTCCTGGCAGGCCACAGTGGAAGAGGAAGCACTCATTCTTGATGTGACTTGATGTGCTGGGGTGGGCTTGTCAGAGGGCTCCCTTTTCTGAGGAATAGGAGAGGTGGGATAGAGGACAGAGGGAGGGTAGGGATGGGTGGAGAATGAGGGAGTTATAATTGGAATGTAAAGGGAATAAAGAAATAATTTACTTAACTTTTAAAAAAGAAAAAAAATATTAAGATAAATTAATAAAAAGAATACCCAGATGTAAACCCATATATGTAATATTTAACAAAACAATAAAAACACATATTAGAGAAAATATAGCTTCTTTAATAAATGCTGTGAACAAAACTGTTTATTTTGAAACTTTTATGTTCATGTAAAACAAGAAATCTAGATCTATATTTCTCCATTTATACACAGTGGATAATAACGTATATAGGAAATGAACACTTAAAAAAACAAGATGATGAACACAATTAAAGGTAATAACTACATATAAATAAAAAATGCAATAATCATAAATAATCCCAAGAATGAACACATGGCTGTTTATGAAATGAAATACCATTTTACAGAAATAATGGCAATCAGCAAAGTTAAGAAAGAACACAATCTTCGACTCGGTCAGAGTGAGTAACAGACTATAGAAATGGAGATAGAAAATTACATCACTTCTTCTTCGCTTACCTCCTTGCACCCTTCCCATACACATCTCAAATTTAAACTACCTTTCAAATTTATGGCCTTTTATTCTTTAATTAATATGTTTACACAGAGATAATATAAGTGTATTGCAAATATATATATATATTCATTCCAGAAATATATTTTTGTTAAAGCTAGTGGGTAATCATGCCTACTAAGTATGTTGTGCAGTGTAAATTTTGTAATGAAAGATATTGAGTCAAACATAGTTTATCTTTTTCAGAAACATTGTATATGTCACGGTTGGAAATTGGAGAATATCATGTAGAGACATGACATAAAGTTTAACTTAAGTATTTATGAGAAACTAGAGTCTCTTATTTTTAACTTTGGTCATAAAATCCTGAGCCTTTTCAGCAGAGACATGGGTGATACACAGGATGTAGCTGCAGTGTTAGCCTGGAGCCAGTTACGCACAAGAACTCAGGTTCTGCAGATAAAGGTGGAATCAATCCCCCACCTACTTCTGACAAATACAGATAATGTTAACTTCCTGTACCAAGGCAGCCTTTTGCAAATGCCTCAAGACAGTGAAGACTAACTACTCCTGGGTAATGACTTTTGTCCAAATTCCCTGACAAGAGTGATTTTTCTAAGGAGGCTTTTCTGGCTTATATTTCAAGTAGACACAGTTCATTGTGTCAGGGATTGGGAAATGGCTTGTCATACTGCTTCTGCAATCAAGAGGCAGAGATAAATGCTGTTTTATTTCTTCAGTCTTTTTTATTCATTGTGAATACAGTTCATGAAATGGTGTTTCCAACACTTAAGGGAGGTCTTCTCTTCAAGATAGCCTAATAGTGAGAATGTAATTTTCAATAGTGTAGGCACTATCGAAATTGATATAGAGATTCCTCAAAAATATTGAATTTGGGTGGTGGCTAAGCAGTTAAGAGTGCTACTGTTCTTCCAGAGGATCCAGGTTTAATTCCTAGCACCAACATGGCAGCTCACAACTGTCTGTAATTCCTGTTCCAGGGAATTGGACACCCTCTCACAGATATACATGCAGTCAAAGCACCAATGTACATAAAATAAAAATAAAAAGTTGTCTTAAAAATATTGAAATTGATCCACTTTATGACGCAGCTATAAAACTACTGGGTATATACCTAAAGGACTATATATCATCCTAGATATATAGTAATTCTTTATCCATATTTATTGATGTTCAGTGCATAATAAACAAGAAATGGAAATAGCTTATATTTATTAATTAATGAATGGATGATGAAAATGTTACTTATATATGTGATATATATCATATGTATTAGATAGATAGATAGATAGATAGATAGATAGATAGATAGATAGATAGATAGATGAGTTTTTAGACAGCTTTAGAGATAACAAAATTTTCAGGGAAAAAGATGTAGTTGAAAATAATCATTATTAGTGAGGTAATCCACACCTACAAATACACATATTCTTTCTTATGTATGGATCCTACCATTGAAATATGTGTTTATGTATAATTTTTTAATTTTGCGCATATGTGTGTTTGGCTGTAGGCATCTGCACATGAGAGAAGTTATTTATTGGGGTAAAGAAGAGTTTTAGTCCACCAGAGCTGGAGTTACAAGCAGTTCTAAGGTGCTAGAAGGGGGTGTTGGGAGTCAGATACAGGTCATCTGGAAGAACTGGCTATGCTCTGAACCACCAAGTCTTATCTCCAGCTCCTATTTTTGAATCTTTAGATATGAGTGTTTAAACTGAAGTACCTTTAGAGTTCATGAAATGGTAAAAGGTCTATGAGATGAGTGGCAAAATTTCAAGACTAGGAAGGGATAGTAAAACATGAATGATATTAGGGATATAGGAATAATCGGGGAAAGACATATTAAGTGATGTGGGAATGGGAAAGCAGGGAAGAGGAAGGTTAATAGTGAAGGTTAAGTAAAACTAAAGACTTTTGAAAAAGTCCATATGGAAACCTACTATTGTATAAGGTTGTTGATATTTGAATTTGGTAGTTATGGTATTTATAAAATGTCAACATTCTGTTACTAAAACAATGAATGAATCCATTGCTTTGTTTAGTTGCTCCCTCTCAATAAGAATGACAAGTGCAGGCTGAATGAGAATCACTAGTACATTTAACTGTCTATTAGATAACGCTCATTCTCAATGAGGCATTTGAATTCATTGCCTTAGGCCCCTTACAGTGGTCTATGAAATGGGAAATACGGATGGAATTTGAACTCATCCTAGCAATGGATGAATGGGGAACAGGTCTAACATTCTTCACATGGCCTCTAGACTGCCCTTTGGCAAAGTCACCTTTATTGATTGGATCTGTATAATGAAAGGGTATAGTGACAGAACACTGTCTACCCCAAGGATCTCCTGTCCTCAGTAAGTTTAATTTGCATTTCTTATTTTCAGGCAATATTTTCTTATAATTCTGATAAACAATATGATCTTCAGCAGAAAGATGTCCATAGCAGATTTATTTTACTAGGAAAAAAAAAACATACTGTATAATATCTTGGTTTATCACAGGTGATACTAAATTGTTGTAACACTTGTGGCTCTAGCTCCAAATTTACCCACTTTTCTTCAGCGTTCCAAATGAATTTTGTGATTTTTTCACTGGTCTGTTCTTCACCAAAGAACCAGCTTCTACATGCTAGCAGAAGACCATCAAATTGTATCGCTCCCACTAATGAAGGAATTCTTGTTCATGCCTCCTTCCCCAGAGTGTTCTGGAAAAGTGCTCACCATGTAATATGGACTATTGACAATGTGTTAGAGTCAAACAATACTAAAATTAACAGACTAGGCAATGCTATTGCTTATATTCTATTTGCACAAGAAAGAGATACCAGTGACTGAAATGAAAATTCTATAGTTTTTCCTTACTTTCTCATGACAACATGATGGCCACTGCTGTGAAATGTCATAAAGCTTAGAGCAAATAAATGAATTACCAATCTAATCCTATTGTCTATACTCAATCAATTGTAGTACAACTGTCCTAGGTGCAGCCAATACATTTTTATTAGATTTAAGCCAAATTCCATGCAAAAACTGTTTGTATATGTAAGTATGGCTGAAAAATCTGTGACTCAGACTGGTTTAAGCTGCAATAGGAAAGCCTGATGTGATGTTTTGTTAAGTGAAAATACTTTGATCACAAAATTCAAGAAAAAACCCTAAACAACTATTTCAACACACACACACACACTCACTCTCTCTCTACATATTGTTATGCCCAGTTCGTGAACCCCAAAAGACCAGGAATAGAGTTCCGCTGTAAATACATGAGGTTTTTTTAATTGTATACATGTTCGAACATGGAACTCAAACTTCCTGTGGAAACAGGAGAGGAATGTGGCCCTGAGGTCTAGAGGTACAGAACAAGCAGGGACTAACATGCTTTGGCATTACATGATTGGGTAACGTAAATTGACTTTTGAAATGATTGGTCCACTTTAGGCGTCAAGACACCAAACAGTTCTGGCCTGGTCATATGTGCCGGTTTCCTAGCAACTGTATAATTATTGGGCAGGAAAGAAAGCAGTGAAGCTAGTTCTTCCCCTCAAGGCATTAAGGCTGGACATAATGCGATTTGGCTGGCTTTGGTTCAAGCTTTAAACTTTAAAACAATACCCACTGATTTTTAAGTCTTTGGTCTCTCAGTATCTGGATTTGCGCTTTATATTACTAACTTATTGTTCCTAGTATGTAGAAAGTATGTAGAAACAATCACTCCAACACTTAAGCATGTCCCCTGGATCCCACCAAAACAATTATGTTAAAGTTTTCCAAATGCAGGACAGTTCCTATGACCTTGATTTCCAATGCTCACAAACAGTAATCATGTATATCTAACAAAGATTCAGTGGCAGAAATATGTAAATACCTGAAGGAAAATGAAAGTCTGTGATATAGATTATGCTAAGGCATGAAATTCACAAGAACCTTTATGGAGCAGAGGTGTCTATAAGTGATTTGCAACTTAATTTGGACCCTAGTAAGAGCCTAAAATTAAGATAAAAGGATAATATTGACTGCTTGAGTCATCATGGTCTTGAGGTTGTTAGTAGTGCCTGAAGTTAAAGAGTCATATGATCTTCACCTTCATTCTTGATGTTACCTCTTCTTGCCTCCTAGCAGTGTTTGGCCTTGGGGATAGTTCAATGACCTATATAAGAGGTAGGATATTTGCTGGAGGTAGGGCTGTGTGAAGCAGCCAAGCTGTGCCAAGACTCCTCAGAGATGCCACTGTCATTTTCTCAACCATGCTCCTGTAAGTAATTCTTCCCTCATTTTCTTCTAAGTGAGCTTAAATGTTGCTTTCATTTACAATATCTTTTGGGCAATTTACATTTTGGGTGTTCTTTTCGCCCTATATGAAGTGATCAGACATTTATTCATGCCTGATCAGGACAAGTAAAATCACATAAAGCTGAGAAGTACTTTCTAGTCATTGCTGTAGAAATAAATACACTGTACATTCTTGGATCAGAGGTTCTTAAAAGGAGTCCTCATGCCAGAAGACATGTAGAAATGTCTAGAGACATTTTGCATTTTCTTAATTTACCTTGACAGAAAGAAGTTCATTAGTATCTAGTGGTAAAAGCAAGCATTTACATAGCTGCAGATGATCAGAACATGAAATAATCAATCTCAAAATGTCAAATTGTAGAAATTAGGTGTGGAATAAAATAAAAAGAGATTGAGCATTAACTTTGTAATAACTGTAGAAGGAAGGATGCAATTTGTTCTGTTTTCTCAATTTCTGCTATGAGATGTTTGAATTGAATGAACTTAATCATAGTTTCCAATGTGGGATTTACAAGGCTAGCATATAAGTAGCTATACAACTTTAAATTTTTCATTCAAGTAAAATACATTTAAAAAATTAAATGATGGTAATATTGACTTCTCCTCATGACAAAATATCTAAATAAATGATTGGTAACAAATATGAATTGGACTCTGTAAGATAAAAGGCACTATCATTAGCACCTTGCATCCTTTAAGTTGATATTAATCAACTTAATCTGTGACTACCTTTTATTTGATATACATGTACACAGAAAATATACATGTATTTACAATATATATATGGTTCATAATATAAATTAACAAAAGCATCTTGTTTTTAAGTAATAATTTTATTCCTTCTCAAGTCTCTGATAGAGTTGAAGACAAGATAGTTATAGTTAGGCTTAAGTTGTTAAGGATTTAAGAAAGTGTTTTAAGGTCTAGAAAGATGTTTTTTAAGTTGGTAAATACAAGATATGACAGAGAATGATTTAGGTACAAAACTTCAGACTCACCTCCATAGGATAGACAGTATTTTCATCAAGGTTGCCAATTATAAATCAGCTATACATTTTGAATGTAACTTTTACATATGGTTTTCCTGATTGCTTCATGAAAAAAGAAAAAAAAATAAAATTTATTTGTACAAGAAGAAAATGTTTTTCCCAGGGGAGAGTGTACTTATGATTTATCCAATACCATATGCTCACTAGTAAAACATACTGATTATACTGACTATAACGCATTCTACTGACTAAGCCCATTGTATACATACATATATATATGTATACATATATATACACATATCCATACATTTGTATGTATCTGTGTGTATATTTAGCAAGATATACATATATGCATGTAAAGTAACAACTAAAGAAAAAGTCATTAATTTAACAGAGAAAAAGAACATGTGAGGGGTTTTGAGTAAAGAGAGAAAGGGCACAATGTAATTATCATAATCTCAAAAAATAAAATAATGCTTTAAAATGGATTTATATGAATTGTTTTTATATTCTTATAAACAGGTGATAGTTATATTTTTTGAAGATTTTTATCTATTTAATGAATCTTACAGTACCTTAATTTTAACTTGAACATTTTCAATTGCATTTAGAAAAGAGGCACTTTCAGATTTGTTCACTAAAAATAGCAAATAGACTTTTAATTGATAGTTACATGTTGGCTCATCTTCTTAAAATCATCAATTATCAATATGTTAGGTTCTTTTTCATCTTACTACAAAATGTAATTTGATGATGACACTAACACTTTATTGTCAAGAAGACTCATCTAAAAGAGGTTTTGTGATTGAGCAAGACAAGTGAATGAAATAAAGAGTTCTAAGACTTCTGTGGTTAAATTTTCAGAGGTAACGCTTGATGCCCACAAGTAACATTTCCTAACACTGAGCCCCAAGATTATGGATTTGTTTTAAGAAACACAGTTAGAACTGATACAGCCTGAGTATGTAAAAATTACAACGCATAATGCAAAGTCCATAGTGTTGATAATCTTCCCTACATCAGCTGATAATAGGACAGAGGGGAAAAGAACAATTAATTCTAACAGCCTTCTCTTTGCACAATACAGTTGATGACATTATGCAGAACAAATCTACCCAGAGTGTTCATCTTTATAGAATAAACAATGTGACACTTTTTGTAATTTGGCAAATGCATAGAAATATTACTGTGAGACAATAAAGACAGCCCAGAGCTTTGTTTTCAAAATGGGACTCTTGAACCTCAGTGTTACACCACAGGTTCTCATGTGTTTATTCTGTTCAGGCATGAAGATAAAATGAAAGGTGCCATGCTATCGTTACGAAAATGCACATATTATTTCACACTGAGTTTCTCCTCCTTATCTTCTGTAATGATTTTTGCACCTTAACACTTCTGCCTCTTCTTCTTCTTCTTCTTCTTCTTCTTCTTCTTCTTCTTCTTCTTC